AAACCACTAGTAGTTTAGTTTCGACTTGAGCATTAATGTACTTTCATAACTTACTTTATTGCCAAAAAAAAGAAAACAAGTTACTAAGTAAGTAATATGTAGCTTCGGTTTACCCGACTACAGCGAAGCCAAAAGGATTTCATTAAAATATGTTAATATCTGACACAATTCCCAAATTCTTTGCAATGACTACTTGGCTAGTGATTTTCTTTTAATATTGGGACGTGTAAAAGTGCTTTTTAAAAGCCTATTTGCAAAAATAAATGAGTTTTATGAGTTTTTATTTTTTCAATATTACACACGATGAAATAAGTAATTTTACAGTTTAAAAATTTATGGGCAACCCTAACCTCTATCAAATAATTTACCGACTAAGGAGTGTCACCTTTGCGATTTCGCCGTTTCACGATCCTCGTTCCTTGTCATAAGCTGTAGGTGCTTTTGCTTGACTAAACCGTAAATTTCCAATCGAATTAGCACCTTAAAAACCACGCTTTAAGGCTCACTTTAGACCATACGATATGACGCCCAAATATGGAATTGCAACTGACAAATTAATTAAGTCATATGGAGAGAAAATCGATCTGTTGAATCGAGTTACATGCTCGAATACTCGAGAAGGGATTTTTGGGTATCGCCTCTTAGGTTCGATGACCTTTGCAAATTAAATGATAAATGTATGGAACTGACTTTTGAAGAACGATAAGTAAGAAATCAAGTATTATCTAACTTTTGAATATTTATTTACTCTTAAAAATAAAATTCATTCATAGTATTTGCATAATAACTTCATATTATTGGACTAATTAAGACTTAAATGTAAATTGAGACTTTGCTATTTAGTTATCTAGGAATAAAAATAAACCTCACTGGTTTACGCGAAAGCAATAATATGAACATTTGTGTAGTCTTCTTTTGTAAAATGCTAATATCTTTTTAAAACATAAAATATTTAAGAACAAAAATATGGACGGTTTTCAATACATTACATTTTTAACACACAAAACAAAGCATTTAAAGTACCAGTTTGACATCAATAGGTAATGCGAATTATAAGCTTGAAAACATTGAAATCAGTATGTACTTAAAAATACGTATAATATTTAATCAATATTAAGAGCAGTATATCACTACAAAAACACGCTGTCCGTAAAAAAAACAACGACATTATCATAAAAACGACAAATCATTCGACGACATCGTCTCTACATCGCGACAACCGCCGGATCTAATTTAGAGCGGGCGCGGGCCGATGAGCGTAGCGATAAGCGGCGCGGGCGGCCGCATGCTGCGTGATTTACTCTGCCCGAGAGACGCTCGGTTTGTAAATGCTGTGCTCTGAAATGATAGGGCATTTGGGTTTGTTTTGAGACCGAAATCTAGTGTCGTATTGAAGAGTTGTATAGACGGGGCTGACTTAGATATGTGTTGCGTGTACCTACTTTAGAAACTGTAGCAAAATTTATATTTAGTTTTCAGAGCAAGTCTTGTGTTATTCTGTGTGTAAATCTGTGTAATAAAAGGTATAGCAACAAACGTCGCAGCCTCAAACTGCATTATTTACTTCGATCGCCAGTAACTACAAATTTTATATTAAGAGCTTTTGTTGATAAATAAGAACAGTGTGACATAATCAATTAGCAGTTTAATTTACTAGTTAAGAGTTCACGACCAATTTATTTTTTCTCATTCGCAACCAGTAAATGGGTTTGGATTAGACTACATTCGCACGCATAGCTCAAGACCGAACGCGTTGGAGGACTGTTGTGGACGCCCTCTGCCCCATCTAGGGGACATAGGACCATAAGTCAAAGACATTCGCAAGCACTCCTCAATCAAAAATACAGAATTTAAAAATAGAGTTCTCCTTTTAAAACCTTCTCGCCCTCAGCGCAGCGTTGCGCATTGCGCTCGCGCATGGGAGCGGGCGCGGCGAGATGTCACCAGCGCACCTGCTGATCCGTGCGTGCGCTGATAAACGATTGCCGGCCGCTACACTGGGCAGGGGCGCTCAAACTTATGGGGCAATAGATATATTGGAGAATCGAGGCATCTTCAAATTCTTTATTAGTATGTAGACCATCTTCTTGTCGTATCGACAACAAACCTACACAGTGTCAGCCCAAAACTCCGCTACAAGAGTGTAGGTGTGAGAGTGTGTAGGCATTTTCAGGGCACAGAAATACGTCTCAAATTCAGCTTGCTCTACCATTAATTCGAAACAATAAATGAGTTGGTACCGCCAAAAAGTAGCGGAAGAAACTCATTAGCCTCTTACGGATACTTTGAGGGCGTAGATTTCATTTGGACTACATCCCGCTGTTGCTCGATTATTGTGGTGAGCCCACTCGTGATGTAACTAAGCTTAGTACGAGGGACTAAATGAAATCGTAAGTAAGCAATATTCTGAAGTTGTTTGCTAACACAAATGTTACAATTCGCACTTTAGCGAAAGACTTCCCAGATTCCCATCGCTCTCACGAGAGGGGTTGATATCATCATTTGGGAACCACTGGCCCAGCCCTAGACTAGCTGGATGCCCATTACCATAGACCTCGCTTTCCTTTTGTACAGTGATTGAACCACGATAATGAGATAAAACAAGGGACATGCTTTTACAGTTTTACATCGCTTTACAATACAAGACTCGAGGACTTTAGCTTTGGGGCTATAAAATATACGGTATTATAGTCTCTCTCTAGGTTGGTATAGTTTGTAGTTCTAGTAGAGGACGGAGATTTCGTTAAAGGAGTTGGCATGTAAAAAAGATCTGCATCCTCTTTAACACAGGATCATACGGAAATATACAATTTTGCGAATAAAATTTTAAACATTTTAATGTCACAATGCGATTCTGAAGCATCATCAATCATTCCGGTGTGCATCTGTATATTTTTATAACAAGCAAAGTCCTTGTAATATCATAATAAATAATGGCCGTCTTAAACTTCACCGTCTCATATTTTCCGCTGCCGCTATCCATTATCATTATCGATCAGATTTATTAATAAATCTGCGTTTAAATGCGCCATCGGACCAATAAAGTTTTTGTAATTAAAAGCATGTTGGTTCTGAAAATGCCCGGTTCCTGTGGCCCCAGTGTATGAATACCTGAGAAAGATCACTCCGAGAGAAATTCAACGTTCTTAGCTTGAACGCAAATTATCATGAGTAGGTATACCAGCAGTCATTCAATGTTGAGGTAGGTCCAATACAAAACATACGTACTAATAAAAAACAATATTCACGATTTTCATCATGAAAACTTAGTGCCACGTCACGACAAAGCTTAATTGCCTTTGTGTATCACACTTCAGAGTATGGGCGGGGTTTCAGACTTTATAATAATCTTAGATGATCTTTTCACAAAGTTACATATTTACATTTTCCCTTTAGTTATTTACTCACTTCACTGGTGAACCTACTGGATCCCTGTCCACCGTATTAAAATTATGATGCGTCCGAAAACGCCACCTATAGCCCTGATGCCTATCGTCTTGACAAATACACACTCCAACTCATTTACATATTAAAAGTGGGCATTGGTAATGAGAAAACACTTACGCAGGTACTTTATTCATGTAAAATTAATGTTGCCTTCATAATTCTTCGCGGTTTAGAGTTCCGCTGGAGAATAAAAATGGTAGAAACGTATAAATAGCATGGCAACACACGATTAGTGAGCCGCATGGCAATACTGTATAACAAATTTATGTAGTTGTAGCGGTAAATGTTGATAAATTACATCTGAATCGTAATTCATTAGAATAAGTTGAGTTATATCGAAATATGACATTCCATTGGTCCATTAAAGTATAGTAGTAATGCCGTATTAAGTAATACGGCGAGCCTTTTATAGCACTCGTAAAGTCTTGAGTCTGAGGTTCTCAAAGCCTACGTGACAGAAAGAGAGTATATTATAGACCTATATTTATTTCTTCCTTTAAGGCTATGTGCAGGAAAATACAGACTTAGTAACCCACAAACATCAGATCAGTTTCTCTGTATGTTCACAGAATCGCAAAATAAAAACAATACAGTTACAGAACCGCAATTTCGATACAAAAAGATAAAATCAAGAAATCAGATCAAGTAAACAACCAATTTAATTTTTTTATTTTGGTTTAATTACAAGCATTAAAATTTTTTAAGATATCCAATTGATATATTAGTATTTAATAGCTGTCAAGGATTTTTAAATTGGTAACAAAAAAAAACAATTGCGAATCATCGAACGTAGCTGCAGAAAGATATTGACGGCCAGTGTTTTAGTAATTACAAATGCTACACCCTTACAGGGTCAATGTATGAATGCATGTATACCTGTATGTGCTGAATATGTTATTGCAAATGAATAAATAAATAAATAAATAAATAAATAATTGATGAATCGAATAATAAACAAAAAGCAATCGCGAAATAATTGAAAAATCGTCTCAGAAATTTCATCTCGGAGCAATCGCTAATCGCAACAGCGCGATATTAGTTACACAAAACGATTTATCGAAACAATATCATGGCCCGTGCCGTTCGAAATTAACAAGCAAATGACTGATTGGAAAATGGCGCACACCCGTCACGGTGTATTAACGACAAATTGGGTTTCTGAGGCGATATCGCTCATATAGTCCGATACCGTTTACTTTGTGCGTGCTCATTTTGGAATTGTTAGTGATTTTCGTGGACTTTTAAATATTACTAATCGATTTAACATTAACTTTGTTGCGAAAGATCTTAATCCTAAATATTTTATTGTAACTTTTCTGCTTTAAAAATATGAAAAAAGTTTAATCAAATTTTAATTGATCGTCAAATGTCTTCAGAGTTTGCCTAGGATTCATAAAATATCCTCTATATCACATTTTGCTAAATATTTTAAATATTGGAAACAATGTAACTTTTGAATTTCATATAAAATTTAATTATGAGGTCTCAAAAGTAGTTTTATTTTTATTCTTCTAGAAGTTCCTTGACTAAATTCTTTATTTCTTTATTTCCAGATGAACCAAAAGTGCAAAGTGTGTGGCGAGCCGGCGGCCGGGTTCCACTTCGGTGCCTTCACGTGCGAAGGATGCAAGGTAAGGAATACGCGATGATATTCGTATATATTTACAAGTATTAGAGACCTCTATGTATGCTAATAGACGAGCTGTAGTAGAATAAAAATTGTATCATGTTCGCCGATACTTAAATTTAAAATCAAGTAATCCGTAATGAGTGTTCACCAACCTGCATCTTTCGTTAACTTGCAATCGACTGAAAGAGTTGTTATAAGCGTAACAAACTTAGCGAGCAATTCATGATAGCCTGTCTCGTACCTAGAAATGTTGGAATATTACCATGACATCAAGGTAGTGAGGAAGAATAAATAATATCTTCTGACACGTCACAATAGATCAAATCTACGTGCAACTAGGTGTATTAAGAATAAATAAAACTTAATATGAAATCTGGTCTGCTAACATAAAATGGAACGTCCTGCCCAACATTACCACACACTAAAAACTAAAACCAACAAATTACCTAATAGTGCCAACAGTTTTTGCCCGGCACAGAACAGGTGCCATTGTAAACAACCGCCGGGTATCCGACGATTAATTGCGATAATTATTTTCATTCCTATTCGTGGTTTATCTATCCTCTACCAAAATTTACATATACAAAATCCACGCAAAACAATCTAAACTTTATTACTCAAAAATACAGTTCAAATTATATATGCGCGCGCGCACGGTCGTAGATATCGGCTGTATGTCCGGGAGATCCACTTCAATAATTCGATCATCACGCAAAAGTTCCGTTATATATTTTTTTGCTGACAGTACTAAGTCAGTTTTTTTTATATATCGCGTGTTTATATTTTGGCCAATTGAGTTTATTATGTACAATTTGCTTTGGACACGGTGAAGAACCTTTTATTTAGTTTAGTAACGAACTATTCTTTATCTTGATTCCACTCACGTGATGTCACTTCACGTTTCTTTGTATAGTTTTATTTATAGGAATAATTATGTTCATTGAATTAACAGTTTGTAATACACGATAGAGGCAGACAGCTCATTATTTTGATTTCAACAAGTTTTCTTCCTTATTCATTAAAGAGTTTGTGAGCTCTTACAGCTCTTATTTGAACATTTCATTTTCCGATTGAAACCTTTCGATTTCTTTTCCATCTGTCCCAAATCTAGTTCCCAATTATGTAACCGATCGCAGCAGCGCAAGTGGAACCGATCGACAATGGTTTCGCAAAGAACTGTCGCAGGATGTTCGGGTTGTGACAATTGCAATGGTCTGCGCTGCTTGGCTGGCCACGTAACATCCTATCGGCCGTTGTTTATTTATGGGTTACCAAATAGAAATAGACCTAGGTTCACGAAAAGATTAGGCTAGATCATTGGAATTTGTCAAATGTCTTCTGTTATCATGACAAGCTATATTCACAAACTTCAGATAACCATAGTAAGACTAGAAAGAAAGAAAGAAGAAAGAAATAGATTTTATTAACACAGTAAGCACAAATATATACAATAATAACACAAAACGAATATAGTTAAATAGTGGGCCACTGTGTCAAGAGGCTCCCGCTCAGCATTTATCCTGACATGCTCGTAAGGGGATGTTTAGAAACTGGTCTTCCGCGAGAGCCCTTGTTGTGGCTTCGCGCATCCCTTCGGAGAGACATCGACTCGAGTTCGATATCTCTCAATAGGGGTGAGCAAAGCAGGGACATAACAACACGACGCATTTAAAAAAAAAACAAAAACAGAAGTAACACGATAACAAAAAACAAAGAAAAAAAAAGGAAGACTAAATTACTTTATGACTCTCTTCATCAATATTCTTTGAACTAGAAGGTTTTAGCATGACATTAATTATTTACTAATAAGCCACGCTTTTATTTGATGTCAAGGATTCGATGATCTTGATAAATTGATCTCAAATTGATACCATCTATGTATTTACAAGATCAATATAACTTCACTTGTAAATCATTATCCTGATTGCATCATTTTCAGTGTTTTCAAAATCAATACTGTAAAGACACGATTGAAAAATCTACATACAAAATATGGGGCAAAATTCAAAACTGCTCTAGGAACAATAGGTTAAAATGGCATCAATTTTGCCCCAATCATGATGAAACGATAGCTTCTAGTAACCTTGAAGATGCGCAAAAGATGACCCGAAATGTGGAACAAGAGTCAGCGGGGTCATAATGATGATGATTTGAGGCAGAACACCGCAACTCTATGCAAACTGCAAACCACCGGAACTTGGGTAACGCCGTTACGAGTATTGTGGCAAATCCGCTCGAATGACATGGCCCATTAACTCTAACCTGACTAATACGAGATCGTAGAGTTTACCAATACTTTATTTTGGTACGAAGAGGCTACAAATTACAATTATTTTTCTGTTATTCTTATTAGATAATTGTAGTGGTTTTCTGAATACGTCATGGGATATTGGTATAATTTCAATGAATGCATAATTATGATAGTTCAATGATCGTATTTGGATAGCATAAGTTTATAGATACCTGAAGGTCAAACTAAAAATTTATTTCGTGCCAGTTCACTATACACGGCCAATAATTTGCCGTATAATTTTTTAAAATCTTATTCAATGGTGATACGAGGCAATGTTATGTATGAGTGTGAACTCATAATTGAGGCGAAATACCATAAAGTTCTTTAATATACCAGGTTTAGGATACAGGTCAGATAGTATACCACCCGTATACCATCCTGACCAAGCTGGACAGATGTGATGCCTACAAAGGACCATGGCAACCAGCGGTCATGGTGTTTGGCGCTTGGCCAACTCTTGCGGCCACGGGCCGGAAAATGACGGTGCAGTCCGACATCTGAAACATTTCGTTGTGCAAACTCATTTCGGGGATCGTGACGGAAATTGGCCGATTTGCTTGATAGGGTAATTGCGAGGTTGCAAATAGTCAGATTAATAGAATGTGGACCCATTGGTGAGATTGATTGAATTTCATTAACTCTAAATGCATTTGCCTCGCAATTATACCATCGCATCACAAAGATCTAGATTAATCTTGTCTACTTATTATTGATTGAAGAAAAAAATGGGTTGTCTTATTTTGTTGATGACTTGTGTTACAAAGACACTCGGACATGTTTCTTAGATATAGAATAACGCCCGTATTCACAAACGATGATTGCTTAAGTGAAGCAGCAAACGAACGCACAGCATTGAATAGAGCTCTGTGATTGGTTCATGTGTCACCCTGTGCGTCCACGCGCACTGTGAGACCTGACAGTAATATTTGTGAATACGGGCGTAAGTGTCTATCATTCTGTTACTATACCAAAATGTTCAATTTACAAAAACTTTAATTCATTCAAAAATAATCACTGCCTCTTGCCTCTCGTGGCTAACCTCCATTGTCCTACCCAAGAGGGCTAGACGCCAATCCACATATTCGTCCCATTTCTCAGCTAACCCCACCTTTCATTTGTCTGCCCCCGCTTGTTTCGGCAGAAGCGACAGGCAATAAGCCCGTATCCGAAAAAAGTTGTTTTAAATCAAAGTTAGATTTTTTAAAATACTTTTGCGCAATCAAGAATAGTCACTGCCTCTTGCCTCTCGTGGCTAACCTCCATTGTCCTACCCAAGAGGGCTAGACGCCAATCCACATATTTGTCCCATTTCTCAGCTAACCCCACCTTTCATTTGCCTGCCCCCGCGTGTCTCGGCAGAAGCGACAGCAATAAGCCCGTATAGGGGAACAATCCCGCATTACCATACAAACGGCGCGCGCGGCGATTAATTAGCCACCGGACAAATTGACGGCGTACGCGCATTGTATGGGGCTAGGGCGGGGCCACACTGGCGATTTGCCACTGAAGTCTAAACAAGACAAGACGAAAAATATAACCAAAACAATTCAAATCTCAAATTCAGAACTCAATGTTTCATTTCAAACACTTTTTTATCATTTCCAAGTTTCTAGCTAGATAAAAAAAATCATTTTAATGAACTGAGAAAGCTTTTACGAAAATATTAATATAGAGTCGCCAGCTGATATCTAAACAGAATCCACTAAACTAGCGGCTCTCCCCTCATACTCGCATCTCTACATAATTATCCTGATCTTAAGCTCCTCTGGAATCACAATATAGATCTTCCAAGTTGCCTATTCAATTTTTTTTTTTGTTACTAGACCCTTTTCCGGGCATTTATTTAAGTCTCAAATAATATAGCTTTCCCTACCACCAATCTGGGACAACATATCGGCTAGTGCTCAGAAGAAGTGGCGGAAGAAACTCAGTCACCTGCACCTCAGTCACTCAGTCTATGTAGACGCACCTTTACGCGCAGACAAATCGCCGGCCGCAGCGCTGCGCGCGCACTAATGCCGCGAGAGTATTATGACGGCGCAGTAACGTATTCGCGGGTAATTATGGGCTATGCTTTACATCGCGAACTTAGTTTCCAAAATTGGTAGACCACCATAGTAGTTGGTTTCGAAGAGACCATTGCAATGAGAAAAAGTTATCAATTATATATTGATGCTGAAAAGTAAGCTATGTGTGTATTGTCAGTTAGTGGCAGATGCTTCCAATTGAAGGTTGCTCTGTTGTCCATATCTTCTTAGTCTGGCACTCTTGTCAGAGTGGTCGTAGTTGCGCTGACGAGGTACACGGTGAATGTTCGATGTCATTTCCGAGAGTAACTCACCTGGCGATGCGCTTCCATTTCTGACGGTCAGAGGCGTCTCGAGTACACTGGACCATGTCCATTTCTTCCTCTCTAAACCCTGGTTTCTGCTTATCATCTACTTATGTATGAGTCTATGAGCGCGCTCAAGCTAAAAATCTCAATGCAGAAACCGGGGATAGTCCCACTATTTGCAATTAGCAACCTGTTGATCTTATAAGCCACTTATAGCCCCATTTTTAGAAAAAAAACATCATCTGTCCCACTTACCTACCTGATAGATGAACCACAATTCAAAACGTTCTATCATCCAAGAACTGTTACAGACAATTTAAACTCGACTTACTACAGATAGAATCAAATCGGATTGATAACGCAAGTCCGCGGT